ATTAAACGTTGCCAACAGCTTGTCAGCTTTTCACTCCCCAACTCATGTATCTGTAAATGTGCTTGTCAGCTGCACTCCTGGAGAAGCTCCACTTCTCACTGCAGCTTTGTCACAGTGCATTCCTGGAGTTGAAGGAGGTTTGCAGTGAACGCGTAGCTCTCCCTGAAGTGCACAGGGATGATCCAAAGCTAATGGCCACCATGAAAACAGAATACAAGAAATAGGATATTTCTGTTTTTATTACTCTTTCTTTTTACCAGTTAGAACTTCAAGGAAAGTCTTTCTTGAGACAATCCACCTTTGTTAAGGAATCTTAGAATCACAGAATGGTTTGGGTTGGAAGGGACCTTTAAAGGTCACCTAGACCCACCCCCCTGCAGCAAGCAGGGACATCTTCAACTAGAGCGGGTTGCTCAGAGTCCCATCCAACCTGATTGTGAATCTTCTCTGACTTATTCTGGCAATTCATGTGAATGTAAATCAAGCAAGTACGCATCTCCAAAAAACTTGTTGCCTCCTTCAGAGCAGACCTATGAAGCACATCATCCCTCTGCAGAGGTTTTGGTACATCTCGCACACCCTGCTGTGGGTTCAGTGCAATAATCCCAGCCTGCAGTGCCAGTTCTGCTGTGCCTGCTTGCCACCGTCTGTTGGAGCTGAAGCACCAGGTTACAGACTGCACAGTTCACTCAGCAGTCTTCTGTTAGTTCCTTTACACCTCTTGGGTAAATACCATCTGATCCCCCTGGTTTGCAACTGTCTCATCCGTGTTTTCAAAACCATCTGTTGTCAGTTCTGTCCAATAACCTTCTCTGACACATTCCTGGAGTTGAAGGAGGTTTGTCCTCAAATTGTGGTACTCAAACCTGAAGTGGAGCCATGAGCTGAGACCCCACGAGTGCTGAGGAGAGCAGCAGTCTTACCTGATGGCTTACAGAGGACAAGATTCCTTGTTATACATCCCATTATATATGGCTTTTTTTTTCACAGCAGCATGGTACTGCTGCCTCATTCTCATCACGTAATGTAGTATTTCTCCTCTTCCTACCCCATCTTTTCTGCTGCCTCATATCATTTTTAGGCCTATTTGGTAACTGATTTGTTGGAGACATCTTTGGTTTGTTAGAACTGGTTTGCTGATAGTGAAAGGCAGTGAACTGATGGGTTTATAGATGTCTGGCTTGTTTCAAAGCATGGAAGGTACAATAGTGATGTGAAAGCGCTATATACGTGCCCTGGACTCAAAGAAGCTCCAAAAAGGAGAAAAGTGTGTTGCAGCATTTGTGATTTTTTTTTTTTTTTCCTCTCAGTTGGTGCTTGGTTGTAGGTATTCTTGTGGTGTTTTGGTGGCATGGGTCTTTTTTTTTTCCCCCTTCCTGTTTGTTTGTTTGAGTGTTTTGTTCCAAAAAGAGGAAACCATTTTCAAGCTAGATGCCCCCACATGGGTTCTTCTCCCATTAAAACCAGATCTGGGCTCTCCAGTCCTTTAAGCAGAGCACAACAGTGTAGTAAAAGCATAGCTGCCCTGGTGTGAGTGAGATTGTGAGGGCCCAGGGAGGAAGCTGGCTGAGCATGGTGGTGTCCCCCAAGGTCTCCTGCTAGGAGCAGAGATGTGCTCAGGCTGTGTGAGGGGAATGCAGGGATGTAGAGCAGAATTTGCAGGCAGACGAGGAGCACAAACCATCTGTGATCCAGTTGCCCCGTCAGGCTGGGCATGGTGTGTGGATGGATGGTGCCCTTGTGTGCAGGTGGACAGATGGCACACTGCTCCCCAGCTCCCACCACGACCTTCAGCACTTACCTCCATCACTCGCTGCGTGCCTTTGGCTTTACGAGGCCAGGTGGGGAAGGACTGCAATGGTATAGGGTTGGTACGAATGGAGCTCAGCTGTCGTGAGTGGATGATTTCATGCTGGAGGCATCAGGATTTGGGGCTAGGAGACCCAGGTGGACAAGCAGAGGTGTTGCCAGTGGGAACTGTGCTGGCTGACAAGGTTCTTTGAGCCCCCTCACAGGGACCCCATGGGGCAGCACAGCCCTGGGCTCTCTGAGAGGCAAAATTGGGCCATCCTTGGTGATGTAACCCAAACATGCTGGGGAGCAGAGCCCTTCAACAGGAGGCAGTGCCCAGCTCTGGGCAATGCGATGCTGCCCTGCCTGCGACTTGGAGCCTTCCCAAGAGGCTGTCAGTCACCATCACTGGCCCTGTTCTCACTCACACACAGTATTATCTCTACCCGCTGCTGCAAATTGTCTCTGAGCAATCCCTGATCTGTCAGCATCGCCTACCCACTCTCAGATGTCACCAGCCCCCGCTGCTGCCCTGCTCGGTAACGTGTCTCTCTGAAATGTAATAATTCATTAAGTTGAGCTTAACTTTTTTTTTTTTTTTCCCCTCCCCTCTCTGCCTCCCCTTCCTCCTTCTAATGGACAAAAGCAATTAAGCTCCATTAGGGATCAAGCATGTGGGAAGCATCTCCCTTGGAAACACAGCTGCACAGGCCTTGTCCCTCCATGTGTGTGGCACCAGCTTCTTGCAAATTAAGGCTCTGTGAGCAAACAGTTGGGTAGGAGATAAATGGTGTTCAGCAAGTGGGGCACTGGAAAAGATGTTCCCATCCCCTCCTCCGGGAAAAGGTGATTTGAGGCTCAGCTGGTTTTTCTGTCTGGGTTTCATTGTGGACATGTGATGATGGCTTCTCTCATCATGCAGCAAGAGGAGATACCAGTCTCAAGAGAGGACCTGGAAGACAGAGGGGGATGGGCTGGAGAGGTGACAGAGAGTGTAAAGCAGGGAAAGGTTTCCAGGTGCTTCCAGGTACAGAATATACCTGCAGGATTCTGCTGGCAAAAGTTCTGTGCAGGCGCTGGCTGGCATTAGATAATGGCAGAGGTTCAACATATGGGAGGACCAATGGACCAAACTAGAGGAAGAGGGGCAAGTTCCCCACTAACTCTGGCTGCATATGGCATCTAATTTTCTGACATCCCAAATTTGCAAACAAAGGCTGGTGAAGGATGATGGCACAACCAAAATGGTCCTGCCTTTCCTCCTGCTAGGGCAAGAGGGGTTTTGGCATGGCATGGCCAAAACTGGGAATGCATTTCACTGTTGGCTGTGGGAGGCCCTTCCTTCTCCCCTATATCCTCCCACCTTCTTTCCCTGCACTTAGGCTGCTTTTCTCTTCCTTACCTTTTGTTCTCTCTCCCTTCCCTGCCCTAGGAAAAAAGTCTCATTTCAGTCTGAAAGCCAGCAGTGGAAGGGGGAGTCATTTGATGCTTAATGCCAGAGCGGCAGGAAACTTCACCTTCCTGGGGTGGAATTAAAAACGCTTGAATTGTCTGGGGATCTTAAACAAGAGGTGCAGGGAACATTCAGGGTTTTTCACACAAACACACACGCACACACACATGCGAAAGCCCACACAGCATTAAGGGTGTAATAGCTCAGCTTGGGTAATGCACTTGAACTCTCTCTGCAGCAGACAGACCAATTCTTTCAGTTCTTTTGAATATTTTTTTTCTTTGAGGCTGGAGATTGCTGCTAGTCTCCAGGGAGAGAGACATTTGTCTTGCAGAGAAAACGGTGCCATTTATTCGTCACAATCTCACTTCCCTCGGAGCATCCTAGGACCAGGAGGGGCTTGAGGGCACGGGCTGGTTTCCTCTGTGTAACTGTGGCCACCGAGGCTCAGGGATGGGACGGGGAGCTGCAGCCAGCAGTCTGCATCCCCCTGATGTTGTTACAAGGAAGGGGTGCTGGGGGAATGTCTGGTGTGAGGGATACTCCCAGTGTGCAAATGTGAGCATGAATAGAGGGGTAACACATGCACACAGAGGCCCCAGGTACGTGATGTGTGCAAGCACAAGGTGTGGGATCTCCTGGAAGTAGGTCCAGCCATGATGTCTTACATATAACCCATGGCATGGGTGGGAGGTTATCTACATTGCAACCCCTCTGTTTCTTGCCAAAGATTTCCATTTCTCTGTGTGTGTGTGATGGCCTTGGCACATATGCTTAGGGCTTCAGGTGCTTCTTCATACAGAGTGGGGGGAAAACCCACATGGATCTTCTGCATATGGCCACAGGTGTGTGTAAACCAGGAAACAGACCATGCATGGTCTTGTGTTTTAATCACACGTGGGAAGGTATATCTAGTCCTAGCTATGTATAGGCATCTTTGCATGGCTCTAGGCTGGGCTCTAGGTGAAATCCTCTGTCTTATGTACTGAGGAATGTGTTTATGTGTGTGCTTGAGGGTGCACATGAGCACATGGATGCTATGGTACCTCTATGCACCACGTGTGCTAGGGACCACATGAGCAGTAGGTGATGTGTTAGCTCTGGCCACCGTTGCTCGGTGTTTGACTAGCCCTGGCCTGCACAGAGCCCGTGTGGTGCTGCCTGCCCTCCTGCCTGCTGCAGAGCTCCGACAAGCTTTTATCTTTCTCTGGGCTGGTCATTATACCCAGACAGTTTGCATGAGACACTGAAGTCCAGAGAAGGATGACAGGGATGTCCCAAGTCCTGGGCAAATACTCTTAGGAGAGGCTGGAAATAGAAAGGATTCAGAAGTAAAGACATGGGACAGGACCTGCTCTTTTCCATCCCCTTGGTTCTGGCACTTCCTACAGTGCCCAATTTTTATTCCCTGAAGGGACACACAGAAGCTGAGGTGGTTCTGGAGTCGGGTTGTGCTGGGAGCATTCTCCCCATATGGCAGCAGCTCCCACCTGGGGCATGTAGGGCTGAGTGACCGAGCAGGGGCTTTGCTGGTGTGCATCCATGCTCTCCTTCCTGCAAAGAAGCTTCTCCTCTTTTCTGATTGTACACCCATCCCTTTGCCATGCTTTGGCTGGAGATGGCCTTGCGTCTCTCCAACATTCACCAGCACCCCTTGACTCATGCTCATCCTTGGTCCCTGCCTCACCTCCCAGCCTCCCACTTACCCACCTGCCCCCCAGCCACGTTCTCACCAGCCACCTCTGCCCTTCCTCAGGGAGTTTGCCAAAGAGCGTGAGCGAGTGGAGAACCGCCGAGCCTTCATGAAGCTGCGGCGCCAGCAGCAGATCGAGCGAGAGCTCAACGGCTACCGGGCCTGGATAGACAAAGCAGGTAAAGGCTGGTAGGCTGGGGGGGCTCCCGGGGGGCCAGCAGGCACCACAGGTCATGCCAAGTGGTGAGGATGGGAGGGGATCTCTGACCATCATCCAGTGCAACCCCAAAGTTGCACAGGTGCTCCCATGGTAGCGTGGGGTGTGTGGGTATAGTGTGATGGTCTGGCCAAGCTGCAAGCGAGGACATCGCCAACAGTTGCTGAAACCTCACATTCGTGGCGTGAAACTATCGTATTTTGGACAGGAGGCATCTTACATCTTCAGGGGAGGCTGTGAGCTTTGCTCTGCAGTGGCTTCCTTTCTCTTGATGTTTGCCGGAGTCCCCTGCAGTGGTGGGCAATGGGAAAGTAGAGCAGTGAATGATGACAGTGGTTTTGCAGCTAAACCTGCTCCTGGAGCAATCTGGAGGGGATGCACTTGCTGGTTCTCACCTTGGGGCTCCTGGACCCGGGCAAGGGCTGGGGATGATGGAGGTTTCCAAGCTTCTTGCTGACGCCCAGCTAGGTGCAACAGCCCATGGGTGATGGTCCCCAGACTGCCACAGCCTGTGTCCCTGCTTGCCCGTTGTGGGGATCAGGCCAGTGTGTTCGGCTCTCAGGGGAGAAGATTTATATTTCCATCTAGCATTCAGACTTGAAAAAGTGCAGGTATCTTGAAATGAGCCATGAGCCCCAGACCTCAGCTTTGATCCTGGGCTGGGACATTAAGCCCCAGACCTGTCTATGTTGTCTGACTTCTTTAGTAGGGTTAATTACAGTGGAGGAAGAAGGGTTGATTACAGGTAATTTTTACTTCTGATGTAATGAGTGGTAGCTACCCCTTGCCACCCTCCAGAATTGTGCTTTTGGACACTTAACCAATACGTGACAAGAGTTTGCAACCTAGAATGGCCACCTCAAGGCTGGACTAAGTGGTTAAGTAGAAAGCAGTGAGGTGGGATGTGTTCAGCGAACAATGTCTTGTCTCCTGATGCTGAACTGTGTGTTTTGCGTAGAGGAAGTCATGCTGGCTGAAGAGAACAAAAATTCTGGGACCTCAGCCTTAGAAGGTAAGACAAGCAATGTTCTACCCAAAAACCTGCCTGCCCTTCCTTCTGTCTGCCTGTAGCTGGAGGCCGAAACCCTCCAGCTGTGATGGGAAGCCTGGGAATGCCCCAGTGGGGTCTGCAGCCCAAGAGAGGGATGTGAGGGGGTGAATTGACAGCATAACCCTTGAGAGAATGTGGAGGCCAGGAGGTGTCTGGTCCCACGCAAAATAGCGCTGGACTAGGGTCACCTGGATATCTCCATCCTGTTAGCAGACACGAGTTAGCCAAGTACTGATGATCAAGTCCTGGACTAATGAGCTGCCTACTGTGGCAGAGTTGGGCCACCATAGCTCCAACACCCGTCCCTCTTCCCTTCCCAGTGCTCAGGAGAGCCACCATCAAAAGGAACCGGACGGATGCCATGAACCGTGACTCAAGTGACGAGCACTGTGTTGATATCTCCTCTGTGGGTGAGCGGAGGCTGGCGCAGAGAAGACCTCTTCATCCAACTTTGGGTCAGTGCAGTTTGGAGCTTGCTTCCCCACAGCCTCTGCCAGCTTATTGAGTTGCCAGGGTTGCACCCATCATGTGGAGACAGTTACAGATCAGCCATCGCTGCTAGTTTGGCACCTCCTGCCCCTTCTGCCACATGAAAACTGTCTGGATAAGTTGTGTCCCATAGAAGCAGTGTCTGTGAACCATCTGTCCTGTCTGGTGTTGCAGGGAAGGCTGCAGCAACCAACTCCTCTTTTTGCCTTGACTGGAATACCCAATTCCTTCTTCCCTCTCTTCTTCCCTTAGGTAACCCCTTGAGTCACTCTGGCCTCAAAGGTGCCAGAGTGGATGGTGCCTCTTACTTACGGCACAAGGAGCGACTCCTGCGCATCTCTGTTCGCCACATGGTGAAATCCCAGGTCTTCTACTGGATCGTCTTGAGCCTGGTGGCTCTCAACACGGCTTGCGTGGCCATCGTCCATCACAACCAGCCAGCCTGGCTCACCCACTTCCTCTGTGAGTCCTGGGGCTTTGTGTAAATGTGAGAGCACACCTTCTGCAACCTTCTTATCTCTGGTGGCCAGAGGTTGTAGCATGCTCTTGCTCCTTGTTCCAGGGCACATGGGGATGAATCCCACTAGAGTCATGCTGATATGGCACTGACTGGAGAATAACCTGAACTATATTCAGTGTTGATAACAAAGGACCACATACAGCTGTTTAATTCTGATTTGCCCTTGGCCCTGTGGCCACTGATGGATGTCTTAGCCCTGTTGGAGGAGTTTTACAGGTCTCATGCCCTTCAGGTCCAATGTATTTGTCAATAGAGAGAAACAGTCTGCAGATCTCAGCTTGGTTTATCCTAAAATTGTGAACAATGGTGATGGAAAACTTGCTGGACATCCATCTTTGAATGCGCACAGGCAATTGCTGGAGAGGTGTGCATTTGCAGGTACGGGGCTGGTCATGGGAGAACCCCACAGTTAAAAATTTTGGTGCGGAGCATGGCATGGAAACATCAGGCTTGAAACCAATTACTAGAGCATCAGTTCTAGTAAGTAAGCATCAGAGCAGCCCACTGTGGGCTGTGGTACCGGGCCAGGTCTCAGAGGCAGTACACCCGTATCTATTCTAGCACGGTGCTAACGGCAGAGCAGCGTGGTCAACCCCGCAGCAGCCGTGAGTTACTGCTGAGCTGCTGCAGCAGGGACAGTGCTGCCTTCTCAGCCATGTTATTCTTACTCACCTTGAGAACCTCCCCATCAAGCATCGGGCTTGCCCAAACCTGCATTAGAACTCTCAGGCCTGCTGGGCTCCCAGCATGCCATGGTGTGGTACAGCAGCTGGTTGTGGTGAGAAGCATCTTCTAGACAAGGTGAAGAGCCAGACTCTTGCCTGCTAATGTTCATGAAATAGCTGGAGAAGCTTTTTACCAGCTCTTGGCTTTTCAGCTTGGTTTCCTTGGCCAAGTTCCAACCGTGCAATGATTTAAATCCAGGTTGCTAATATTACCTTACAGTGTCCTGTGGTTAATGTCTTTGCAAACACCTCAACCACCATTGTATAATGCTAAAGAGCTGCTCTGCTCCATGCCAGCCATCTCTGGTCTTGTCAAACCCCTGGCACACTGGTGCACCTACCCTGAAAGATTAACTTGTGGGGTGGGTGCTCTGTTATATACAACTTAGATCTTCATAAACAAGCTTCCCTCACCCCAAGCCCTGATTGCTGTAGGAAGCAGCATGGTCCTTGACTTAAACCAACTCTGTGATGTGCTATGAGGGCTACAGGTGGATGCATGCAGGATGCCCTTCACAGTTTGGTGCCCCAAGGTAGTGCATCTGGGTTTTCTCTTTCAGACTATGCAGAGTTCCTGTTTCTTGGGTTATTCCTACTGGAGATGTCCTTAAAGATGTATGGGATGGGGCCACGCCTTTACTTCCATTCTTCCTTCAACTGCTTTGACTGTGGGGTAAGTGGCCCCAGAGATGCTGTGAGTGGAGGGGGAGATGTTTGGCAGGTGTCTGCAGCACAAGGCACCAAGGAGGAGAAGAACAGCATGGCCCTTGAAGTGGTCAGGAAAACTCTTTCTGCTGGGACAGCATGTCCATGTCATATTGAGATGCCAGGTCTTGGGCAGGGCGGTGGCTGTCTCATCTTCAGGTGCTTGAAAGTTTCCTGCAACAACACATCTTGAGCGTGTCTTTGACTCATGGTTGTGTCTGCTTCTCAGGTCACAGTGGGAAGCATCTTTGAAGTGGTTTGGGCTATCTTCAGGCCAGGAACCTCTTTTGGGATCAGTGTCCTACGAGCCCTTCGTCTCCTGAGAATATTTAAAATAACCAAGTATGTACCAACCACCACCCTTCACCTTGGTCTGTGTCTGGCCCAGATCCAGTAACTCCTGCTTTCCTGTTGGCATCACTGAGTGCTCCAGCACTGTCTCTTTATTCTAGGTACTGGGCATCCCTGAGAAATTTGGTGGTGTCACTGATGAGCTCCATGAAGTCTATTATCAGCCTACTCTTCCTGCTCTTCCTCTTCATTGTAGTCTTTGCCCTCCTGGGAATGCAACTGTTTGGAGGCAGGTAGGTTGTTTTAAGTCTAGGGAAAGGAATTTCTTGGTGGTAAGACCCACTTAGATGCCTAGGAAGACTGTAGCCTTGCCACTCAGCCTGCTGCTAACAGTGGTTCCTCTCCCATTCCAAAGTCCCTGCTCAGGAAGATGCCTCTGGGATGTGTGGATCTTTCTGGTCAGGACATCTTTTGGATTCTGGCACCAAATGCTCAGGAGACCTTCCTTAATGTAGAGAAAAGTCCTCCTAAGCACAAGAGTACTGATAGAACATCAGACAGGGGTTTGATTACCTTGGTATTCCAACCCATTTGTGTCCTCCTGGTTCCACTTCCAGGTTTAACTTCATGGATGGGACGCCATCAGCCAACTTTGACACTTTCCCTGCAGCCATCATGACGGTGTTCCAGGTAGGAGCTGGGCTGCAAAGGGACACAACCAAAGGGATTTGGGACTCTCCACTCTCTTGCACCTGGCTGGAAGAGGCTCTTTAAACCAAACGAGTTCCCCTCCGTCCTGTTAAGATATAACTCGTTTCCTTGCTCTCCTCCCATATAACAAAGTAGATGGCAAGAGACTGAAACTCTTCCATCTTCTGTTATGCAAGGTGGAAGAGTTTAAAAACTCTTCTGAGGAGACCCAAATCCTCAGCAGTGACTGACATCATCTCCCCCAGGTGCTGCAGCTGCAAGCTGGGTTACCCACTGCACAAGGTCTCTGTGCTTGGCTCCATGCGTTGACGGGATAGATTGAGGGGGTTGTCCAGGTGACGAGGAGGTGAGGGTGACAGAGCTGCTGGCTTGCTTCCCTGCAGATCCTGACGGGTGAGGACTGGAACGAGGTGATGTACAACGGCATCCGCTCCCAGGGAGGCGTTCGCTCAGGCATGTGGTCCTCCATCTATTTCATCGTCCTCACCTTGTTTGGAAACTGTATCCACCTGGCTGCTGTGCTTTTAGTGGAGACAACCCTGTCTCACCTGCCTCTCTAGGGGTAACCCCCTCCTCACCCCCTGCTCCTCTTCAACTCCTCTCCCAGTTGAGCGAGACCCATCACACGTGCAGCAGCTCTGGATATTCCAAACACAGAGAAGGAGCTGTCTGGAGGTGCACTGAGGGCTGTATGGGTGGGATGGGTGAGGAGTTTGTCCCTTTGGCTGCTCCTCATTGAACTGGTGAGGAGCCATCCAGAGCTACCGTGCCGTGGTGGCTGCAGACACCCATGTCCTTAACATGTGCCTTGTGCATCCTTAGCTGCTCACAGATACTCTGCTGAACGTGTTCTTGGCCATTGCAGTCGACAATCTGGCCAACGCTCAGGAGCTCACCAAGGTACGTCCTGGTTGTTTCTTTTCCTTCTCTTGCTGGTGTGAAAATAGTGAAGCATGAGGCTAGCAGGAGAGGCACTGGGAGCACTGCTTGTGACTGTCCTACTCCAGAGCTGTGGCCACATTGTCCCTTAGCTCAGCCTGTCTTGAAAAAGAGGTTGGGTCAAATTAGAAATGGAGGCTCTTTCTCCAGGAAGGTACATAGGGTGATCCTCTGAAACACAAACTCTTATTGACCAGCAATATGATTCTAACTGGTTAGACTGATTCGGGAAAGTTCTCAGGCCTGTCAGTCTCATATCTCTCCAGGAACACCCACACCTTCCCATCAAGTGTGGTTTAACTGTTTCTCCATTGAAGCTCCCCAGTTTCGTTTGCCTCCAGTCAGATTGAGATAACCCTCATCTATCTGATGGGACCTGATGAGGGACAGTTATTTGTCCGATCACTCTGGAGATGTGGAGCAGGAAGTGCTTTCCAGTGCTGTCAGTATTTATTCCCTTCATGCTCACAAGGCAGTGGACGTGATTTAGGATGCAGTTTAGGATGGTGCTTGAGAAGGTTATTTGGCTTAGCTTGTTTTTAAGACCATACTGAGAAATATTGGGGGAATTTTAAAATTTTGGGGCACCATCTGGATGGATAATGGTGAGTAGGGAATTGCTGCAAGGGTTGTTGCTGCTCTCAGAGGGAACCAGTTATCCTTCAGTGCCCGTTTCTTTTGCAGAGCCCATGCCTATTACTCAGGTCCTTGGGATTTCCTGAGAGGCTTCCCAGCCGGTGTAAATCTGACCCGTTAGCAGCAAAAAAAAGTGGGGCATGGTGCTCTTTTGCCTGAGGGGTACGTGTGGGGGTCCCTGTCCTCCCGCAGCGGGTACAGGTGGCACTTCCAGGGGCTGCTGACTGCCTCTGGGGTAAGGGGGGGAGCCCCGCTGAGTACCAGGCAGCATCAATTAAGGGAGTGCTGAGTTTTTGAAAAGGCTGAATGCACACTAATGACTCCTAATGACTTTTTTTGCTCCGGAGACACAACCGTACTCATTAAAGCAATGTGATCTCTGCCGGGGTCATTCATGGATGCCTTGCCTCCTACTCCATGGGGGGATGCCTGTCTCACCCCTGCAGCTGTGAAGAAGGGAGGGCTGAGCTGGGCTGGGCTGTTTGGGGCTGTTCTAGCATGCACAGCCCAGCCCTTTCCTGGAGTGGGCTGGCTTCACTTACTTATTTAAGTAGCGCTGACACCTTCACTAAGATCTGGTATGGTGGGGAAGTTGCATCCCCTTAGTAAAATAAAGGCTGTCTCTGCAAATGCAGGTGCCTGCTCCCTTTTTCTCCCACACCTCTTGGTATCTAAGGTATGCATCCCTCGCTGCCTCCAATGGCTCCACCTTTCCTTGAAACCCCAGCATCTCACTAAGCAACTCCCCTCTTTCCTCTGCAGGATGAGCAGGAGGAAGAGGAGGCCTTTAACCAGAAGCACGCCCTTCAGAAAGCCAAAGAAGTCAGCCCCATGTCTGCCCCAAACATGCCTGCTATCGAGTAAGTGGCCTCTACCACCACTGCCTTAGTGCCCACCCCCAGCCCAGATGGGCTTCTCAGCAGGGTGAGGAGCTGACGTGGAGCCAGGCATGGCTGGTTGTGGGGCTGCCACAAGAAAAAGGGGTCACCATGTGGGTTGACGCCCTCTTTGGGTGTCTTCCTGAGGATGGATGGAGATCTAGGAACGTGTTCCCTGCAAGAAGTGGCACTTTCGGAGAGGTGTCGAAGGGAGGACCAGGACCTGGGCTTGTCCTCCCCTGACTCAAGCAGCAGCCTCAGTGCTTGGACATAACAGAAATCCACTAGAAGCTTTCTGCCCGAAATATACAGCTTGAACACCCAAGGCTGATGTTAGGGGTGGGCAAGGAGGGTGGGGAGGAGGAAGGTATCTCAAGTTTTTCTTGAGGAGGGGTGATATTTGTTCCTGGGGAGCGTTTCTTCGTGGCAGAGCTGCCAGGGCTGTGGGACAAGAGAACAGCTGTGTCACAAATCTCCCTCAGGCTCCTTCCCTGGTAGCAAATGCAGTTATGAGAGATGGAATGGGTTTGTGAAACCACATTTGATTGTATAGAAATTCGATTTGGGCAAGAAAAAAAGCCCCAAACCATATAACCCCCTGGCATGGTGTTAAGGAGCCTTGCCTCTGCGTTTCAGCCAAAGAAAATTCTGTTTTTTCCGTTCTAGACATCTTTTTTCCCTTTATTTTGCAGTGTCATATGGTCTAAATCACATAAAACTTTCAAAGTCAACATTGGAACGAGACATTTTGATTTGTTTCCCAAAACAGTACATTTCAGTACGGCTGAAAGGATTATTTTTTTTCGTTCTTTTTTTATAGAATCCCTTCCCAGGGAATTTTAGGTTTCGTTATGCTTTGAAACCCAGCCAAGCTTGTACATGGCAGAATCTCTTGCAGATTTGCTGAGAGAAACCGCTGTCTTCAGCCGAACCCTGATAACGGGAACGGGCTCCCCCCTGGATTGGCAGCAGTGGGATGCAAAGGTCCCCCAACCCTGCAGGACCCAAACCCACTGGGTTTAGTGGCAGCAGGACCTGGGGGTACTTTTAAGCCCTGCCTGGTCTCCCAGCAGCCACAGATGTCACCTGGATTTGAGGGTGATGGGATGTTCCTATTAAATCTGTGCCTGGCCAGATACTGTGGCAGGGGGGATGTTATGGCAGAGTCTGTGTGTCATGACTGTCCCTAGCTACCAGTGGGAACGTGTTGGATAAAGTAAGGGAGTAGAGGGATTTAGGCTACAGAAGAGGCTGGAGAATGGATAGAGAGGGGAAAGGAAGAAGAGGAGATGGGCCATATTATGACACTAAAGGACTTGCCCACACTGCACATTTCTGCTAGTTTTCTAGGCATTGTCAGATACAGCTGGTTAAGAAAAAGAGATATCTTTAACTTTTTGTCATTGTTCTAGTGGCATTTAAATGGGAGATGTTGATATTCACAGATCTTTTTTCCAGCTCCTCCCTTTCATCAGGGTGGATAGTGTGAGAGGAAGGGAAGTGAGCGTGATGCCAGGGGGGTGACTATCTTCAGCATCGGGTCTGATGTGCTTTTGGTGTTCCTGCACTGATGCCAGCAGCCGGGCAGGGACGGTGGGGACACCACAGCAAAGGGCACGCGAGAGCAGAGCTGGCACTGAAGGGCTGTTAGAAACGTGGAGCGGTGGAGCC